CTAGCCATCTTTCTAAAATTATGGGTGAACCAGTTAAGAGAATTTTCCTTTTTTTGTAATTCTCCTCCCAAATAAGACAAATATTACACCATCTCTCCCTTTTTCATCTTTCCACACTTTACTACTGAGTAGTTAAAAGACACACAGATGCAAAATCACAAATACCTTAATAAAAACTAGAGCAAAACAAATGTCATCTTAGTTCAAGAAAGGTGAGAGTTAAACTATCATGTCAGAATTACCGATTGTATATCTAAAACCAGCATGACTCTAAACAGGAAGATTTCTTCTTCATAAAGATAAAAATAAATCACCTGGGAATTATTTAGAAGCAACATTTATTGATAGCACTCTCTGAGGATGTCTTGTAATTCAAAAAAGAAAAAAAGTTTGAAAATATACATTTAACAATATTGTATCTCATTTACTTCTTTAAGTAAATATAAATCAGCAGGGCATCCACTTTAACTGTTTTGAATCAGAAGATATCAATTTTAACAATACTAAAACCAAGCTTAAGGTAAAATATCTATTGACAACAGGTTCTACCAAAGTCTAGTGAGTAAAAAGGAAGGAAGGAAAAAAATTGTTACTTACCCTCTTCAGAGAAGGAAAAAATACCCCCAAGCATTTCATCATTGTCACCTTCTTCAGATTTTTCTCTATCACAAGGACTACCACCGCTGTCTGCATCAGTAATAACTTCTGTTGATTCACGGCTAGCACTTGTGGGCAATGCTTTACAGTACTCTTCTTGAAAAAACTGTTCAAAATCTGGGGAGTCATTTGCTGGTCCCTCATCTAGAATGTTCATACTCAAATCAGAACGGTTAGAACTTGTATTTGAAACTTCTTTGGTCCCACCACTGTTTGACATGTTAACTCCTTTTACAGTTGTTCCACCAGGGAGAGAGCCAGTTGTCAATGATGACAAATTGTTAGCAGACTTACCATCTTTAACTTGACACATAATGACTTTAGATTCGTTGAATGATATTGAACTACTATCTTTATTGAGAGAGTTCCGATTCAGCCAAGGTGATGCCAAAATAGGACTCCCTCCTTCCACTCCACCATGATCATTTCCAAATTGGATAGTGGATGGATAAGAATTGTTTGGTGATCCTGATTAAGAAGTCAAGCATTTAATAGTTCCATTAATCAAGAAGGATCCCAGTTTAGAAGGATTAGATGATATCTAAAACTCAAAAAGCATTTCATACCACTATCAGAGTTATCAACAGAGATAGGTGACATCAATTTAGAGTGAGGAATAAGAGTATATTCAGAGAAATTTTCTTTAGCTCCCAGCAAACTTGACGGTGTAATGGTATACTTTCTTCCATCTGAGCTCCTATACAAGACAAAAAATCAAGGACGTGAAACACAAGAATTTTTTTGGTGCTATCATATAAATGTACCCCCATTCCAAGATTGTCATAGACACTGCATAAGATGTCAAAGATTAATAAGAACTAAAAGCAAGTTCAAGAAGTTCCAAGATGCTCACTTCTCAAATGAACTAGGAGATATCCAAAGGCTTAATTTTCTAGCATGCTAAATATGAGGATATCATTTTAAGATATCCAAAGGCCCATACTGACTATTATATATATGATTTCAAAGAAAAGAGAGCCCAAGAGAGAAACTGAGGCCTCACCAGTCACTCCAATCAGGCTGAATCCTGTGAAAATTGTTGAACACAGGTAACAAATCCCTCCGATTAATTTCAACCTCAGTAACAGGCATCTGCTCTATTTCAATTTCTCCACCAGTGTGTTTTGTAGTGAATGCATGCTCATTAGTTGCCATGGGGCTCATTATATAGAAAGACACCTTAAAAACCAAAAACAAAGACAACATTAAGGATGGTGAAGGCACAGTAGCATGTCATGAATAGATTATAAATAACTACCTTAAGGTTTTGCCAGATTGGTACCCTTCCAGAGCTTATCTGCACCTCTGCATTGGAAAAGTATAAGTGAGACCAATCTTGGGGCTTCTCCAATGCCTTATGCCCAATATCATAGTCTTCAAGATCAGAAAGATCTGTGATTATTTCTGCAGCTTCTTGTCGTCTATGGGTCATTCCAGAAAGGCATTCCTCTCTTTCCGGCCAATCTGCTCTTCTGCAAACATCCCATGCTTGAATAGCTTCAACTTTCACCCGTAACTCCTCTTCTTGTATTTGTAGGGCAGAACCTGGTCCAATTCTAGAAGCATTTTCACCAAACTCTCCTCCTATTGTGGGTAGTAACTTGTATTGAACAACATGCCCAGAAGGAGTATAAACCAGTAGGTGCTCCAAAACATTAGTTTTTGAAAGTGTTGGACGCAAATCATGAGGTAAAGAGTCATGAAAAACAGCAGCCAGAGCACCGGATGGGATGGAAGCCTTGGCAGCTATAGAAGATGCAGCATTGGTCACAGTATTAAGCCACCCAGAGTTACCATTTTTAATTCTGCTAACTACTGAGAGAGTAACAGGTGCTGGTGGTGTAGAAAAGGATTGATGGTTTATCATGAAAGATGGATTTGACCACCATGGCATAGATACAGCAGGTAATAGGGTAGGCCCATCTACATGAGAATTCTTGATTTGGAGAACATTCTCACCACCAAATGGGGAAAGGACAAATATATGACAAGTTCCCCTAGATGAGACAATGGCAATCCACTGACTATAATTACTAAAACATATGTCCTGGATCACCTGCAAAACAAACACAAATTGAAAAATACCATGAATCTGATGAGTAAAAGAGACATTGAGAGGCAAGAGGGGAAGAGAATATACAGCTGATGTTATTCCACGATGAAGCTTGTAAAGATGCACATGAGAAGAGCTCCAATCATTAGTTTGAGCACTTGATCCATTTTTTGCGTAGGATGGCATGATGCGAAATATATTTATATTGTTACCATGTATTGAGGCCGTAACCAAAAGAGTCCCACTTGGATCAAAACAAAGAGCAGAAATTGGGCTAGCATGAGCTCTGAACTGAGATATGACAGCTCTGGAAACAAAATCTTTAACAACAACCTACAAAGCCATAAAACAAAGAAAACCTGGGATTAAAGTTAAATGTTATTAACTATTGAAAATGGGGAGAAAATCTCATACTCCTGATTTCTTTCTTCTTCTTTTTTTTTTTTTTTTTTCAATCGGCCTCGCATTCTTGAAGTTAGTGAAACAAAGAACTTTTGGGCAAAATTCTGAGTAAACTGAAGTT